CCCCTTCCCAAAAGTGTAAAAATATAAAAAAATGTGGTTACCAAAAGCAAATGCTACAAAGAAAGAAACAGGAAGTGGTTCTGTAGCAGTTGCAATAGACAAAGACAAAGGAAGCCAACATGCTCTTAAATGGACAATCGATAATCTTGCTTCTCGTGGCCAAACCATTTCTCTTATTCATGTTGTCTCCAAATCCTATTCTTCTTCAGGTCCTAATCTTCTCTTTAGGGTTTCTTCTTGATGATGATTAATATCACATAAAGTTTGAATCTTTTCTTTTCTTATGTTTGTAGATACTGAAGAACATACACCAAACCAGAAGCAGCAATCAGAGAAGTCAGCGAAAGATCTCTTCGTATCATTCCATTGTTATTGTTCACGTAAAGAGGTATTCACAGTAAAAAAAATTAAGCTTTTTATCATTAAAATTATTCAAAGTTTGGACCTTTAAAAGTTTTTTTGGTTTCTTGGAGCAGATAAATTGTAGAGACATATTACTCGAAGACGTAGACAAAGTCAGAGCCATTGTTGAATATGTTTCAACTTCTGCAATTGAGAATTTAGTCGTTGGAGCTGCATCACGTAATGGCTTCATGAGGTATTTCTTTCTTATTTCAGAGTTTGTAACAAAGTCTGAAACTTTTTTTTAACGGATTATGTAAATTTTTTGTTCTAAGCAGAAGATTCAAGACGGATTTGCCAACAACTTTGTCAAAATCAGCTCCAGATTTCTGCAATGTTTATGTCATTTCCAAAGGCAAGATTGCTTCAGTACGAAATGCATCTCGTCCTGCTCCTTACCATAGTTCAATGCAGGATTCTGAATTTGACAATAATCAAAATCCAACCACTCCGGAGAAAGTAGCAAAACATGATCATACCAACTCTGCAGGTTAACAAATTTTTGTTCCTCTGTTTTAAAAAAAAAAAAAGCAGAAACTAGTAAGTCATTTCTTATAACATTTTGTGTGTTTATTGATTTTGCAAACAGGTAATACACCGTCTAGACCGCGTAAATCGGTTGAACATGATGCTACAAGGTAAGAGGATTTGAAGCTATTACATTCATGTCTTTTATTTAACTTTGATGTCTTAAAATTAAGTCTAATAAAAGATTTCAACATTTAGATCGCCGTTAATGAGAAGACAGATGAAGCCATATGGAGATTTATATGATTCAGACAGTGACCTATCATTCATAAGTCCTTCTTCTCATAGAGACTCTGACATTTCATTCATAAGCTCAGGGAGACCGAGCGTTGATCGGTCTTCTTTCACCATTGATTTTCCTGAATCCGGAAGGAGTTCAAGGATCTCAACTAGCTCAGAGCAAAGCATTGGTTCACATCGTTTGGGAATTAAGTTCAGTGATCCTGGTTTCCCTAACGAATCATCCACATTCTCTGAAGAAAGCGGTAGAACATCTTCGTATTCATCTCAAAGCCTGGTTAGTACTAGTAGTATTACTCAAAATATCCTTCTCTCTTTTTCTTAAAAACTTTAAAGATTTATCTCATTTAGAAATATTTGCTTAAGATGAGTTTTGTGTTGTTGCAGGATGATGTTGAAGCTGAAATGAAGAGGCTGCGTCTAGAGCTTAAACAAACCATGGATATGTATAGTACAGCTTGCAAAGAAGCTTTAAGTGCTAGACAACAGGTACTAAATACTAAGTCGGAACATCGGTTTTGTTCGGTTTAGGACAGTTGTAACATCTTAATTGAATGTTGTTTTAATGAACTTTTTAGGCAACAGAGTTGCAAAAGCTGAGAACAGAAGAGGAAAGAAGGTTGGAAGAAGCAAAGAGTTCAGAGGAAGCAGCAATGTCAATAGTTGAAAAGGAGAGAGCTAAAGCCAAAGCAGCCATGGAAGCTGCAGAAGCTGCAAAGAGATTAGCAGAAGTGGAAGCTAAGAGAAGATTAACAGCAGAGATGAAAGCATTAAAGGAATCAGATTCATTCTCTCGCGGATTTGTTCGGTATAGGAAATACACGGTTGAAGAAATCGAAGAAGCTACTTCGAATTTCTCAGAGTCTCAAAAAGTAGGAGAAGGAGGATATGGTCCTGTCTTTAGAGGCTTTCTTGATCACACAAGTGTTGCTGTTAAAGTTCTACGACCCGATGCAGCTCAAGGAAGATCACAGTTTCAAAAAGAGGTAAACAAAACAAAAATCTTCCATTTTTTTCGAGTTTTATAAAAGAAAGTTTCTATCTTTTTTTGACAGGTTGAAGTGTTAAGCTGCATAAGACATCCAAACATGGTGCTTCTTCTTGGAGCTTGTCCTGAATTTGGGATTCTTGTATACGAATACATGGCTAAAGGAAGCTTAGAAGACCGTCTTTTCAGGCGAGGAAACACACCGCCGATTACTTGGCAGCTACGTTTCAGAATCGCGGCTGAAATCGCTACAGGACTTCTCTTCCTCCACCAGTCAAAACCTGAACCAATTGTCCACAGAGACCTTAAACCTGGAAACGTTCTCCTCGATCACAACTACGTAAGCAAGATCAGCGATGTCGGGTTAGCGAGATTAGTCCCTGCAGTAGCAGAGAATGTAACACAGTATAGAGTCACTTCAGCTGCAGGAACGTTCTGTTACATTGATCCTGAGTACCAACAAACAGGAATGTTAGGTGTGAAATCCGATGTTTATTCGCTCGGGATCATGCTTTTGCAGATCTTGACCGCGAAACAACCGATGGGTTTGGCTTATTATGTTGAACAAGCCCTTGAAGAAGGGACTCTTAAAGATATGCTTGATCCAGCAGTACCTGATTGGCCAATGGAAGAAGCTACCGCTTTAGCGAAGCTTTCGCTACAATGCGCGGAGTTAAGAAGAAAAGATCGACCGGATCTTGATAAAGAGATATTACCTGAACTTAATAGGTTAAGAGAGATTGGTGAAGAGAGTTTAGAGAGTGTGTTTTATGCAGGAAAGTCTCCAAACACTAGCCAAGTCTACATTTTATCAACTGTGAGTTTTTTTTGTCCTGAATATTATCGTAAAGTTTCCATCTTTTTTGCGGTTTTTGTTACATTTTGTGTTTTTGTTTGCAGAGTGATCCTTTTATATCGAGTTCGAAATCTCCATCTGCAGAATCTCAGTCCTAGTTTTGAGATTGAGAGAGACAAATTTGGTAATTTTTATAGAATTTGTTTTTTTTTTTTTGTTGAGTTTTCAACAAACTTGCAGGAGTTGTATAAACAAAAACAGAGCAAGTTTCTTTTGCTGTGTTATTCAGAAGCTTGAAGAAGAAGAAGTTAGTGTAGAGAGAGACTAGAGAAATTGTAAAAATTGATAATGTGAAGGCCCATATTTAGGCCCATCAAGATCAATTGTAAAAATCGATTATGTAAAAGCCCAATGACTTGAACCGGTTTGGATTAACCGGAATTGCAGGTTTTAAAATTAAAATGGTTAAACCCATAGCTACAGATAAACCCTGCAACGGTTTTG